AGATACGGGTCAATTGCAAATATGTTGCACAGTTGGCGGCAGAGTTGCCTCTATTACGTCACAACTCGGTTCCTTATCGACTTTAGATTTAAATTGGAAGAAAATAGAAGAGATAAGTTATTTAATTAAACAAAAATAAGCTGAATAAACTAACCACTACCCATTGTGCGGGTCGTGTTTGAACTCATCGAAACAAAACATGTCCTGCTTTAGTAACGACAGATATTGTTCTCTGACCTGTAACAATAGCTCTCTATACTAAAATAACTCTTTTATATAAATTATAAGGCTTATAAAATTAATTCTAAGCTGTATAATCAATCTTAGAAGCTAGAACTAACACTTATTTCTAAGTTTTAGAAGGTTAGTTCTATAGTAGAAGTGTAGAGAATTAATTCTCGAAGACATAAAACTACTATTCTGGTTTAAAAAATATATAGTAGAATAGCTCTATATTCTATAATAATAGATATATATAACAATTATTCAAGATTATAATCTAGAAAGGTCGATTTACCGGTCTATAATTGTTAGGATTCCAGTTTTAGAGGTTAGGAAGACCATTCTGGTATGGAGATTTTAAAAAAAAAATAACCCGAAAAAGAATTGTTTTTTGTCTCTACAATAATATTTCTAGATGTTAAGATAACAATTATATAATCTAGAACAATTTATAACGCAGAACGGGAGCAGGAAAGCATCCTTATCTTCCGCATCTCATCCGGATGCGGTGGATAAACGATGTTTTTCTATCGTCTCCATTAATTCGTTACAGTCAAACAGAACTTTTAAACAGGTTTTTTGAAGCGAGAACAATAAAAAAAAAGGAACAATTTCGACTTTATTTGTGGTCGGTCGAACGGTTTAAGAAAATATTTGACGTGTTGTTTAACGCAGCATTAGTCTTTAACTGGAAAAGGACGAATCAAAAATTGGAAAAGAAAATGTTTAATAGAAGAATGTACATCCGGAATTGCCAAGTAGTTTAAGTGAATCGGGTGACAGTTTTGGTGACGTCAAAGAAAAAGGGGGGGAGAGAAAATAACGTCGACAGTTTAGAATTATTTAAAGAATTTATCACAGTTTTCTTTTTCTTTTTTTTTCATTCTTTCCTATCGAATTTAATGGCGTCGGATGCCATTTAAATCAGTCGAATTAGTCTTCTCTTCTCATAATTGTGAGTTATTGTTAGCAATAAAGACTATTGTCTAGGGCATTTTGTTCCAGATAATGTTATTTATTTTGTTCTACACACAACTTTTGTCCTCTTTTTCTACTCGTAACGTTACTTTATCGATCTGTCTTTGATGTGTCTATGCTACGGCACTGTTCGTCTCGTTCGTCTGTACGTAAAGATCTAGAAGAATCTTATAGACCTTTTCTTTCTTAATTCTAATGATGAAAACTCTATCCTAGTTAACGGATAATCGAGTTTAGAAAGGTTTGATCTCTATTGGAAACCGATAAAGTTGTCAACTATTATATCAGATTGCTAGACTGATGGATATATTTCTTTCCTTTATACTTCGATTGGCAAACGTGTCAGCTGTTCTGGACATAGATTTTTTTTTTGTTTTTTGAATTTTTGGTTGAAAATTCTATCGCAAATCTTAAGATTTTTTGGCTTTTTTAACTTATATATATCGACTTAGACAACGTTCAAACCTTCCCTTCGATGCTACCGGATGATAAATGCCATCCGATTGGTCGAAAGTTAAGCATTAGACTGGAATTAACGGTTCCTAATGGCCAATTAACTTCTCGAATCTTATAATTTGACTATTGGCATTATGGGGTAAGTGCTGTGGTGTTGCCAGATGTAGGAGAAGCGAGTTTTTGCCCCCCCCCCGGAGACCGAGAAGAGGTGGATATTGGCCATCTGTTTTCGTTCTGCGTGTCCATTCTTCTGCAATAATTAATTTGTATCGGCTGAGAACTCGGTTAATTACATGAACTTGGTGCCATCTGCGCATTCCCAAGTAGATCGCCACTTCCTGAGCGAATCTTTAGAAGTTGTAGGGGCGGAGGGAAGGGGAGGAGATAGGAAAAAGGGCGAAATTCAAGCGTGAAGTAAAAAAGGAACCGCAAAACTGGATGGGGGGGAACCCACAATCGAATGGAGGCTTTTCTATCCCCAACCTCGGGGGTACTCTGTGTGATAGGGATGGTGTAAACTGGAGCGATGCTCGGGGAGGGGTGGAGATAAGGTGTAAAAAGCCAACGATTTCGACAAGAAAGCCTCCCAACTCTACACTTTTCGGGATCGAAAATGGTATTAAAAAGCGACCCCGGAGGGGTGGAAACGGTTAAGGTGGTGGGTGAATGGGTGGCCGTCTAGAAAGTCGAGTTTTCTTCCACAGCTTAAAGAAAAATATATATATATAAAAAAAAAAGGAGGAGAAGAAGAGATTCTTTTCAACTTTTGGGTTCTTTCAATAAAAATGTGAACTAGAAACCTACCGAGCATCAGATCATCTACCATTTACATTAGATCTTTATGCAGTCTGCGATAAAAATGTGCAGATTGCTCAATGGTTGCACCCAGATAACTGATGTTTGGTAAGTTTAGATACTTACCTTTTTATCTCCACCTCATCGAGCTGGACAGTAAATGTTTTCAGATGTGCTATAAAAAATATAATATTTGCGAATTAAGCTACAAAATTCCTTCAGTATCTATCTCTAAAAATCACTTTTCGACGACATCTTTTATCCTCACAAAAAAAAAGATCTCCAGCATCCAATCTCCAACGTCCATTCTCCAGCATCCAAGATTTGACAAAAGGAATGATGTAACCGGGTAAATAAGATGCAAGAATATATTATACAATTATTAATGCATGTTTAAAGTATTAAACAAATATGTGCTCTTAAATTAAGATAAAATTAACGAAATTGTTGGCTTAATTTTGTATACATTTTGGCCCTGTTGTAAAATCTGAATTTTAATCAATTCTCTTACGAAGTATGCTTAAAAATTCCTTTAATTTTGTAGGAAAATTTCGATTTTTAACGTCTTTTATAAAAGATATTTGTCGAAGGTTGAATATTTTTCGTCTTTTCTAACGGATTTTAAGTGATAGATTGCATCTTTGCTGCGTGACAAGTGGAAAAATCCTTAAGGCACCCGGATGTCCGAAGAGACCCGTCTCTTAACAGGAGGGATTGACATTTTCACATGGAAAGAAACAAATCAGACGGTTTAAGTTACAAAACCAGTCCACATCTGACTTCACTATTTTCGATTGATTGTTCCTGTAGCATGGTGGAACACCCAACAGAATATCAACTCGAGAAATTTGTCATCACACGTTCGATATGATGCTGCACTTTTCCTTCTTCCTCCTCTTCTCCCGTGCAATTTAATGTTTTAATTTCAATTTAAACACTTTTTTAGGCTACTTTAAGATCAAGAAATTTAATTTGAATGAAAGTTTTCCTTTTAAAAAAACCTCCCTTTCTTACACTAGCTACCAACTGGTCTTTTAGTATTATTGACTTTAAAATCACGAAGGATTTTATTTTACCTTTTCTTCTATAGAAATAAAACTTAAACTTTTCTATTTTAATTTAAACATCTAAAAAAACACATTCCTCTTTAACTTAACTCCATAATAATAATTATTTTTATAGAAAAAAATCCCTTTTATATGCTTAAAAATTGGACATTTTTAATGAAATGGCAGAAAAAAAAAAGAGAAGACGAAGCGATATTTGCCATCTTGAAATCGACTAAACGAAAAGTTTAATTATTCAGTGACGTCACCGTCCTCCACCCCAATTTGTTTGGCTGAGTGGCAGATCGCAGCCTAATCTGACACCAGAACTATTATTTTTCCATAAGGACTGTCTCGACCTTGCTCGACTGGGGAGTCGTCGATGACAAGGAAAAGGGGGGGATGGAAGGTGTAAGCAAGCAGTGTCTAGGGTCAGATCGATGCATCGATTAGTCTTTCCCAGTCTTTCCGGCTCTTCTTTCTCTATGTGATGTATGACCTTAATGACTATGCATGCAGACTCTTCAATGGTACTAATATATATTCCCAACAAACGTGACCCCCGCTATAGTGAAAAACCTCGCTATAGGGCTTGGATTTCTACACCACTTACAACGCACGGCTTATATATATATATCGAATGGCGGAAAGTCTTTAAATTAATTAAAGTCGTGTAGGATCTAAACCCTTTGAGTATGTTCTCGGAGATCTAAAGCCTCTTAAGAATTAATAAGATGTTCTCTTCTTCTAAGGCTCGTGAGCATATTTAAAAATTAAATAAGGTTCCTCGCAACCGGACAAACCCTATTTAAAATTAATTAGAAGTTGGGTAAGATGCAGAGATTTATTTATTTATTAATTAATTAATTAGAAACAAACGTAGATTGATAGTTTAGTTACGTGATTTTATCCTAGACAACGTTTAATTTGACAAATTGGCTTTCTGTCGATAAGCTCGACAGAAGTAGATAGAAGAGAAAAACCAACTCGGATTCAATCCCTCTAGTAAAATAGTTAAGGTCTCTCGAGATATCTATCATTAACTTCCTATTTCCGGTATCTGGAACACGTCATTTCCTATCGTGGACGAGTGGACCATCAATTCTTTTTCTCTTAACAATTAGTAGAGAATTTATTGTTTTATCTACTTATTTTTAATCGCTTTTTAAGCTAATTTTTTTTAATACTTTGTTTACCTGATGCTCTCTGCTCTCCAGCATCCTTGGCTTCGAATTTCTCATCCACCTACGTTCGCTCCAAATAACCTACCCCCAGCAACCGAAAATATGAACACCTAGCCCTATTTATAGACGTTTTATGTTATTAAGAGGAGGGAAATTTTCATAGAAAATGCTGTAAAAAAAAGAATAAATACTTTTCTTATTTACATATTTCTTATCTTTACAGAACTTAGAAAAATTCGCATTTCTTTTTTAATGTGATGCATGAAGTAGCATATATATAACGTCCCGTAGATCTGATAGGTGGTTTTTATCTTCGCAGGAGACTTGAAGAACGATACAGGAACTTCCCCTAAAGAATCAGAAGGACCCTTATCCTCCCACACGCCCCACAATCCCGACAAAGAAGTCGAACCCTCAACCCCTACGAAATTCCGTCCCTGGGGTCAGCTGCTAGGTGGAGTGAACCTACGTCAGCAGTACTCTACCCTGCCGTTGTCCACCAGGTCAAGGGTCAATAGATCACGAAGGCACGCCGCCGGTCTTTCGTCGTCTTCTCAATCCTCCGCAGAGGAGGACAATTCGGATGCTACCTTCACAGGATCGGAGCTCGCTCTGGCACGTGACAGCACTTTAGTCCTTCAAAATAGACGTAGGTGCTTTTCCCCCATTGCTGCATGCTGTTGTGATGTTTGTAGAATGTAATTTTCTTATCGACCGCGTAGTGCAAAAGTATCGAGAAATCGTATTAGCGGCAAGTTTCTAGTAAAAATAATTCCGAAATTCGTTTAAGAGAGAGACAATAAACAAAAGTGAAACTTCAAAGTCGCTTGGTTTTCTCTTTGCAAAGAGATGGACGCTCTCTCCTCTTAGTTGTGGTTGTCACAAAGACTCGACTGTCAACTTGTTTACCTTGGGGAGTGCTCGACACTATCGCTTGACTAATATTGTTCGCTAGGTCGATTTCCTAAACTCGTATTTTTGATATTTTGACAGCTTCGAATATTTTAGAAATATTCCTATTTTTTTTATAGTTCATATACAAGCGCAGAAAGAAAGAGAATTTTTATTGATATTCGCCGACGTTGCTTTGTTAAATTCCATCACTTTTTTTTATTTCTTTTCTATAAAAATTCTATTTTTTTAATCTATTTTTCTTTAATATTTTACCATCGTTTTTAAATTTTATTTTCGTTTTTAATAAACTTTCCTACTTTTGGGCTATATATGAAACCGACTAACTCTGCCAATTTGTCGTCATTATTTATATTAGACGAGCGCCACCTGAAATTTTTATAAAACCGAATAATAATAATAATAAATTATAATTTTAAAATCTAATTATCTTTCCGTATTAATATAATTTATGAAATTTAAAGATTTATTTATTAGATTAAAGGAATAATATTTTCATAACTGGTAATATTATTATTGACAGCCGGGTGGTCGAGGCGGTAAGGCGTCAACCTATTACCGCTTTGGGGCCTCATTACTCGGCCTCGCCCATTGCGGGCCTGGCAGAACCCACCGTGGGTACGAAAAGGGCCTTTTTCGTATCCATTTTGAATTCGGCCAGGCCTGTAATGAAGAACGAAACCTGACTTATCCGGTCGACCATCCCTTGATAAATTTCCGAGATTGTTCTTCCGGATTCCCCAAAGTCTAGTGTATTTTTAAAGTATTTTTAAGGTTTCGTTTTTAAAATAGATTAAAGTTTCAAATTTAAATCGATTTAACCAATAACAGATGATGATAAATTTAAAACAGCCAATCAGCGAACGTATCGGTTTAAAATTTCTCGCATTGATTACAGTTAAAATGAAAGATATTTATAGAAAATTGGAGAAATTTCTTGGTAATATCGGGAGGAATGTATTCTTTCTGATACAAAATCGTGAATATACAGCGTGTGTATATAAAAATTTAAAAACAAGAAGGAATATGGACAGATGGAAACGACAAATGATTTCCCAAACGTTTTATTCTAGCCATACAATAAACATTCTATTATCAACGATTTATTTGAAAGTTGTTGGGAAAAACAATGGCTCGACGGCGATTTTTTATCATCTATATTGCATTTCTGAAAGATTATCTTCGACTACTCGATTATTTCACTGTAAAATTTAATCCCCAGAAGTCTGCCTTTAAATTATGTAACTTATTTTTATATATTTTTGTATTTTTTTTTATATGAAATTTTCTTTTTTCTTTATTTTTTCTATTCAATTTTCCAATGATTTATAAAAAATAGTTTTAAGTCAAGTTTCCATAAATATATAAGAGGATTTTCTCTTCAGAAACACGATAGGATTGGCAGATGTTGTTTAAGTTTGTTATAACGTGTAATATTTGCACGTGTATCCACGTTGTTCTACCTTCTTATCGCCTATTCTAACCCATTTTTCTCTTCGAAAACCATCTTAAAACGTTACGTAAACTACCTAAATTATTAATTTTACTCGTTTTTACTGTAAAGTTACCAAAATTGTGCTTGGAAGTTGGGCATCTCCTAGAATGATTTCTTGGAAGATTCGTTGAATTTCTTGAAATTCTAAAGAAATTTTAGTAAATTTCGAATTATTGATCGTGTCTAGAGCTTGAGAAATGCTTAAATTTCGAGCCGACATTTGAAAAAATTCGGGCAAATAATTCTATAACGTCGACTCGCCACTTTCTTTAAACATAATTTTATTACAACTTGTAATAAGGAATATATCTATTTTTAGGCAGAAAAGTCATTTACCTGTCATATTTTTAGATATTTAATACTGTTAATGCCAGAAGTTCTGCATTTTGTCAAGCGTACGTTTAGCAGGAAACTCATGCTGCGAAGCAGTAAAATTAGCGATAGTGGTGCGAATGACGATGAGGATGATTCACCAACTAAAATGTGGATCGTAAAGAATTAAGATAACAATACACGTGACTGTTACAAATTATGATACGGCTTTCTCTATAGTTTAGATAATTTACTTTCTTTAAAATCTCTGTTTGAAAATGTAATATTTCTATATCATTTGTTAGATAATGTTCTTCACAGTTTGTGATTTTAAACTTGTGTTATCTTAATTTTATTATTAAAATTGTGATAATTTATCTAAGAAATGTTTAATCGATAAATATTTTAAATATTTTTAAAGTGAATATTTTAATTTATAGTTGTTTCCATGATTTAATCCTATATTAGGCTGTATTGCAATACGGGGTACTTCAGAGGAATCTTTCTTTAAAGCTATAAAATTTTATTTTGACGATGAGCAATGATGCAGCATTGCAGTATTTCGATAGAAAGCGCTTAAATTTAAGGTTATTTTATCATTAATTCGATTATATACTTCTATAATCTTATATTAATGAGTTTGTTTCAGTCAAACAATTTCGATCTATTCCGTAGATGGAACCAATACTGGTGAAAATCTAGAAGTATAGGAAATTGTAGGCAATCTGCCAAGTGCATTGGGTTCTGCAAGACGAGACTGTCACCATTTGACCCTTGCACTCTGCAATATGTAATTGTGTTCTGACTGAATGATGGATGGAATGGAGTCAATAGCAGTTTTCGAATGGCTAACGGAGCCAATAGCCAGTGGTCATTTCTACATAAACCCCATTCTCCGCGTAACAGATCATAAATGGGGTGGTCGCGTGACAGTTTCCTAGCGTGGACTTCACTCTATTTTCTTCAATTCTATTATTAAACATGAATCAACTAAACAGTTCGCTAATGTGCAACTTTCAACTTTGCTCTCACTCTTTCTCTTGCTAGAAATAATTTCTTAGTGTAAATGTTTGCGGTGATAAACGCGAGTAAATGACGTCCCCCGATTGTTTATGGACCGAGTTAAGTCTAAAGGTCAGAGGTTAGATGGTAGATATCGAGAATTTAAAGTTACTCGGACCCGGAGGTCAAAAGTGTTCGACAACGTGAAGGAATGTTACAAGTCGAAGTAAGTCGTATATTTTTATTTCTTCTATTCATAAATATGTTTTAATATGTGGAAAAAGTGATAAAGTATATTACGTAATGTATTCTTGGAAAGAAAAAAAAAAATGGAGAAAGTTTCGTAAATAGCTACTTTTCTTAGAGAAAAGGATGAGGAGAAACATCATTGGGGAATATCTCGTTACATAACGAAGAATGTAAATGTAAAGAATCCAAAACACGAAAGAAGAAATCAGAGATTTGCACGGTTCCTTCTCTTCATCTTTATCTACATGCATACTACACTATTTTTACATAAGAATGCCGATAATGCCACTACCTAACGAGTAGCTTAGCTTGTACATCTTCTAGTAACTGATGGAGTGTGTAAAGCCTTTGCGGCATTCATCAAGATGCACACGAATCAAAGAATATATATCTAAAAATATATATAAAAATTTTAAGGTTCAGACGTATGTAGCAACGTGATTCGTATAGTAAAGTCGATAGAAGAATAGAAAACTGTATAAGTTTTGTAAACAAGCCATAATCTTACTCTACGATGGCAATTGTATTCAGATATTCCTTAGAGATTCGGTCATAACCCCTTTCGATTCGAATGTAAAGCAAAAATTTTGTTTGATAAAAAACAGTAAAAAAGAAAGAAAAAAACAATGTAGAGTTCGGTTGATGTTATTAATAAAAGTGACTAGATTCTTCCTCGAGTCAAAAAGTGATTTTTCCAATTGATATTCTGCAAGATATTTGCTTTTATCATTAAAAATTTAATTTCTAATTAGTGGAAAATGTGTAATTATATATTCCTTATTACTTTTTTACATGAAAAAATGTGATTTTTTTTAAATATTTGATTTATTTTAATGACGTTTCTTGAAAGAAAACGTTTTTAAGTTAATTGTTTTGTTGATTTTTCTTACGATATTTACGTTTAATCGAGAAGTTCTCTGATGGAAAAAATAAAAATAAAAAAAAGGGAATTGCTTCAAATTTTAGGATTTCTAAGGTTTATTTTTAATTGTGTTTGTCGTCTCGACTTTATTTATGATGTTTTTGTAAGATTTTTCTTTTTTAGCATCACTTCTTTAACTGATATTATCTTTAGTTTGTTTGTACTTTGATTGCAAACACGAGAAGCGTTATGAAGCAGAGAGAATGTGTTAAGACACTTGTCTTCCAGGCATTAATGATGCTGGCGAGGAGAATTTTTGAATATGAATCATTGTAATTCTAGAATTATTACAAGAAAAACGACTTAATAGAATCGAAGAGTAAATTTATATTTGAAAGATAGTAGATTCATATAGAAACTCGTATAAGAACGGAAGTGTTTCTCATAAGGAACGAAGAGTTAAAGAAGAGCAAGAGCAACTAAATGATGTGAATGATTCGATGAGGAAGAGGAATATCTATCAAAATAAATAATGCGAAAAAAAACGATAAAAATCGTAAGAAAATAGAGAAATAACGATATCCGAATTGTCCGCAATTAATCAAATTGTTAGAAAAGTTAAGAGAAATTGTTTCTCCTTCATTCCTTGAGAAAATTAAATTGCTCGTCGGCATCCTTTTCTTCTGATTAAGCTAATCCGAAACTACTTTGGTACTTGTTTGTCTTTGCCCTTCAGGAGGGAAGGCCACACGTTGTTGACACATCTCTGGACACCTCACACTAATCATGTCGACTCCCACTAAGAAAAGAACCAGAC